GGAGAGCCCCTAGGGGGGCCCCCGGGGGGGCCCCCAGGGGGCCCCCCGGGGGGCCCCCAGGGGGGCCCCCCTGGGGGGCCCCCGAGGGGGCCCCACAAAAGTTTGTGAGTTTTGTTTCATAATCGAGAAGAAGATATTCTGCTGCTGCAACTAATAATGCATTTGTTTGGAAATTAAACTTCAGAGCAGCAACGCCAACAGCAAAACCCTGGACAGTGCTCGAGTCCCCGCTGCTGCTGCTGCTGCTGCTGCTGCTGCTGCTGCTGCTGCTGCAGCTGCTGCAGTCGCTGGCGGTGGCGGTGGCAGTGCTGCTGCTGCTGCTGCTGCTGCTGGGGGGCAGTGCTGCAGCTGCTGCTGCTGCTGCTGCTGCTGCTGCGAGTACAGTGAAGCGCCGCAGGCACTGAAGGTTGTGGGGGTCCCTAAGAGACATAAAGAAATGAACAAACAAACAGCTAGCTAGCTGGCTGGCTAGCTAGCTAGCTAGCCACCTAGCTAGCTAGCTAGCTAGCAGCTAGCTAGCAGCTAGCTAGCGAACTATAGAACTGGCTGGCTAGCTGGCTAGTCAGCTTGCTAAGCGGCTGGAACCGTGCTCAGCTGGCTAGCTAGCTAGCTAGCTAGCTAGCTGTCTAGCTAGCAGCTAGCTGGAAACTTGGGAGATCTTTACTGAGCCAACTAGCTAGCTTGCCAGCTAGCTAGCTAGCCAGGTGGCTAGTTAGGTGGCTAGGCCCATGGGTAGCACTACCACATCTGTTTACCAGACTATTGCTATCTAGCTAGCTGGCTAGCTAGCTAGCTAGTTGGCTGGCTAGCTAGCTAGCTAGCTAGCTAGTTGGCTAGGTAGCTACCTAGTTGGCTAGCTAGCTACCTAGTTGGCTAGCTAACGGGCCAACTAGCTTCAGACTGTCTGTTGTTTGGCTAGCTAGCTAGCTAGCTACCCAAGCAAGTAGACTAGGCAGCTAGCCAGAACTTGCTGTTTAGTTTTTCTGGCTAGTTGGCTAGCTAGCTAGAAAGCTAGACAGGCGGCTAGCTGACTGGCTAGCTAGATTGATACACAGATAATGGATAAATATGTAAAAGGCCTAGCTAGCTAGCTAGACAGCCAGCTGGCTAGCTAGCTGGCTAGCTAGCTGGATAGCTAGGCAGATAGCTGGATAGCTAGTCAGCTAGCTAGCTAGCTAAGTAACCAGCTAGCCAAGTAACCAGCTGGCTAGCTAGCTATCTAGCTAGCTAGCTAGCTAGCTAGCTCCAGCTAGCTGCTCACCAAAGAGCAACGGAGCCGTCTGCTGCTGCTGATGCCAGCAGCAGCAAATTCGAAGACCAAGCCAAGGCGTCAATTGGGGCTGCATGCGCAGCAGCAGCAGCAGCAGCGACAGCCCAGGTTTCTGCGGTGTACGTACACCTCGTCTGCTGCGGCTGCTGCTGCTGCTGCTGCTGCTGCTGCGGCTGCAGCAGCAGCACGGAGCCCTTGACTGTTCCCACGGCCAGAGAATCCGCAGCAGCAGCAGCAGCAGGTGTTGCGTCTGCTGCTGCTGCTGCTGCTGCTGCAGCCAGAGCCACTACCCTATCGCCAGGAGGCAGCAGCTGCTGCACGTCCACCGCACGAAGCTGCTGCTGCAGCTGCTGCTGCTGCTGCTGCTGCTGCAGCAGCTCGTTCTCAAAGATATAAATGCTACCGTCAGCGCACAGCAGCCACAAACGATCCCCGCTGCTGCTGCTGCTGCTGCTGCTGCTGCACTGGGCAAAGACGCAGCCAGGCAGCAAAATGCTGCCGATTTGCTGCAGCGAGTTCATGCTGCTGCTGCTGCTGAACAAGTTCGGGTGTATCTACAGCTGCATGCAGAGAAGCATCTTTTAATTCGAGGACTTTTACTGGAGGCTTTTCGAGCTCTTTGTTGCTGCTTTGTCCAGCCGCAAACCCTAAACCCTAAACCCTAAACCCTAAACCCTAAACTCTAAACCCTAAATTGGCGTATCCAGTGTCCGCACATATTTAGACACAACACCGTCCTTTACTTTTTGTCCCGAATTAACAAACCCTTGGCTTTGTGTCCTCTTCCTCAGAGCTGCGTTGCGCGCAGCTGAGGCTCTAGGGTTTAGGGTTTAGGGTTTAGGGTTTAGGGTTTAGGTTTTTGAGGAGTGGTGCACTAAAGTCCTGCCGCGGCCAGGACTTGGTTTTGGAGCTGCTAAGGGAGCAAGGGGCGAGAAAATGCAGAAAATTAAAAACAAAATAATAAATTAAATTAAATTAAATTAAATTAAATAAATAAATAAATAAATAAACCACCAATTAACTGCTTTCCGCCCTGAAACTGAACTGAACTTCCGTTTGGCTGTGGGGCCGCGGCGGGCGGACTGCGAGCTGCTTCGGTGTACATACACCCCAAACTGCTCTTTTAAATCGCAATTTTGATTTCATTTTATTTAATTTAATTATTTTATTCTTTTAAAAGAATAAAAAGCCTCAAAAACGAGATAATTAACGCAGCCACTCTGCTGCCTGTGGGGAGCGCGGAGCAGCCCGCCAGCAGCAACAAAATTGTGAACTTCGCAGTTCACGCAAAAACGAGATTAAAATGAATCAAAATGAATCAAAATTAATTAAAATTAATTAAAATTAATTAAAATTAATTAAAATAAAACAAAATAAAACAAAATAAAACAAAATAACTCAAAGAATTCAATAAATAGTGCAAATATAACAGAGTTTGCGCAAGTCTTTCAAGGCTCAGCCACATGAAGGGAGAGGCTTTAAGTCGCTAGCTAGCTAGCTAGCTGGGCAGCCCTGTGGTCATCCAGCCAGATAATTATAAGCCAAAAGTCAAGAAACGCAAACAGAAGGGAATTCGGTTTGGAAAGGACATCTAGCTAGCCATCTGGCTAGCTAGTTAGCTAGCTAGCTAGCTAGCTAGATGGATAGATACATAGGTGGACGGCTAGCTAGCTAGCTGGCTAGCTAGCTAGCTGGCTAACCAGCTAGCTGGCTAACCAGCAAGGTAAATCGCTGGGCGGGTAGCTAGTCAAATGGTTATATTTGTAGCTAGCTAGCTAGCTAGCTAGCTACATGGCTAGCTACCTAGCTAGCTAGGTGGCTAGCTAGGTGGCTAGCTAGCTAGCTAGGTGCTGCTTAACTGGCGGACAGACAAGCAAAACCCTCAGTGTACACTCTATAAAAGGGTTTAGACTTTAGGGTTTAGGGTTTAGACTGTAAACCCTTAATTCAGTTCAAATCAATTTAAACCTCGCCGGCCCTTCAATCCTGCAAACCCTAAACCCTAAACCCTAGAAGCGGCTGCTGCAGACCCTGTGCTGCGCAGCAGCAGATCTTTGCGGCTAACGGGTTAGGGTTTAGGGTTTAGGGTTTAGGGTTTAGGGTTTAGGGTTTGTTTATGGCGTTGTCGATTGGTTCTCTTCCTTCGCCTTCTCTTTCTGCTCTAAACTCTGCAAAAAAAATTAAAATGTTTTAAAGCAACCCTAAGCAGCAGCAGCAGCAGCAGCAGCAGCAGCAGCAGCAGCAGCAGCAGCAGCAGCAGCAGCAGCAGCAGCAGCAGCAGCAGCAG